TGCCCCTTGACCGGCTTCCTCTGCTTGAATCATACGCTATGGTTGCACCAAGTTCGATAGTCAGTCCATGCCGTGGCATGGAGGCATGAAGAAATTGACTGAAAGCATTGGTCGGGCTGCTGTATGCCGTTTTCGTGGATGTGGGCCTTGGGATGGTCCATACCAATGGTTGGAGGCCGCATCAAACATGGTATAGTCACGCACTTAGTGGCGTTCTTGCATTCGATTGCTTGCATCTAGTTGTTAATTTTCGTTCTATTCTGACTAATTCAATGCACTTCCTTTCTGCCTCCATTTTCTTTACAATCTATTTGCATTCAACCCCGCTATCTTGCCGCTGCTATTTATTTTCATTCTTGTGCTATGAGTTGTGGCAACTGGACCCACCGCACTTCGGTGCTCGGATCATAGTTGCTTAACCTAACTGAATATTCACGCTTTTGAAATCGGCTAACGGAATTCACTTTCAAGTTTGAAGTGAGTGATCACGTCCGTGTTGCCCTTCTTCTTGTGCAACCTGAGCACCGTCTGTTTCTTGCCGACCAATAAACAGATGCTTACACTATTTCTGCCTTTTCTCAACTCGGGCGATGGCCAAAAACATTGCGCATTTTCCCCTGTTATGCGGATGTCACAGGTTCGAATCCGCATAAGTGCGGACGACCTCGCGATATACTTGCAATGCAATAGACTACACAAAAAGGCTAATGAAAAACTCATTCAACTACGAAACGATTAATTCGAACTTCGGTTAGTTCTGTGTCTTTGAAGTGTCTGAAGCTAACCGTATGCTTCGATAGGAAACGCAATCCGAGTTAGCAAGAATTACGGTCATCAAACACCGAGCAACAGCGCTGAACAGTCAATACGAAAACTAGCACAACGCACCGAACAAGAACACGGAAAGACATTTGAGAAAGAATGTATCGGTTCACATAATCAGCGCAAACTGTACAACAAATATTGGAAGATGAAACAGGAAACTATGGCTGAAAATGCATAAGTTTACACGCGTTACAGCACGCCTCCTAGAGTGTGAGTTGAGGAGATGAACGCTCCATACGTTTCTGTTTGACGTGGATAGCTAGTTTGGAAGGAATAATAACTGCACGTCCAAAGCATGTCCGCTTTTGTGTGTGAGTTTGTGACGGGTGGGATCTGGGGATTCCCTACACACTTACATGAACGGATATTCTAGCATATGTTCAGTCTAACTAACTTCTTCGGAATTATAACCAACAGTGACGCACGTCAATTGGTGCATACAGGTGTGCAATCCGATTGTTATTTACTATAAGCATTACCGATAAGAACTTGTTATTCCGTTTCGCATGGTACCATCTCTCTCCCACAAGCTTATTTTTTATGCCATCACTCTATTACTTTACAGATGTGCGTTTCATGTGATCCACTTGTGCAGTCTCCTAATTCGCAATTTCTTCTATTAACAAACTTGATTTTTTACCCATCTTAAACCATTGTTCCATTCCGTTGCAACGAGACTGGACCTTAATTTGGTATGACGGTTTGCGTACCTCTTTCACCCGTTAAGCTATACTGGGTGGTGCCTCCGGCCCCCCTTAGAGCTACTCCTACCAGGTTGGCCAGTGGTTTGTGGTCAGACAAATTCAGTCTCATATCTGGTGGGAACACCATGTGAGCAATGAACGTGTTCGACGCCTTGTTTATGGCGCAGGAAGAAGAAGCAAACCGGTCAGCACCGTTATTTCAGGCACCAGGCTCTGTTGGTTGGGCCACGTGTTGCGCATGCCAGCCCACAGACTCCTGCGACGTGCGTTGTTTGCGCGCCGGGGTTGTGGATGGAAGAAGAGGAGAGGTGACCAAGCGATGACTTGGTCGAGAGGAATGAAGGCCCTCACTTCGGAGCTGGCCTCGGTTGGAGCGTCTCGGTTTCCTGGTTGGGGTCCGAAAGACGATGAACACGTTTGGTTGGACACACTTGCTAATACGGCTAGGAGCCGACCTCAGTGGCGTTTGTGTTGTGAGTTTCTTTGTCATTCCTTCTCTAACTACGATCTCAATTATTTTGGATAACATGACTAATTTGCGGCACAACAGTCGGCTGTTAGCTCCCTGAACCGATGTCCATCCGCTACTGGTGACTCAGCCTGCATGCCTCTGTTTCATGTTTTTTTTCTTTTTGTATTGCACACTAGCTGAGGTGTTTTACCTCAGCTATCCTGCACAATGATGAATAAATGATCTTTCAGATTGTTGGTTGGAATTAGGATGGCGTCCATTTCTGTAAAACTAAATAACTGACACCATCCACTGCTTTGCAAACAGGCTTTTGAGTCAACGACTTTGGTTGGGGACCCTAATCCATTCTCCTGTCTAGATCTGGGCGCTCTGGAAATATCTCAGCCCATGTAGAGCCATGATAATTTTCTAAAACTTTAACGACATCTTACGTCGGCGTCCGCGCAGATTATCAAGAGACGTCTTATCTGCTGCATACAGCAGGGCGGATAAGCGAAAACATTCTACTGCTGGCGCTTCCCTTCTTTCCTTTCCACCTGTTTCTCTTGCTCCCATCCCAACCCCCATTACTAGCCTTCCTTCTATAGACCCCAGTCTACTTGAAAGCAGCCGTAATGTCATTGGAGCCGAACTATCTGCAACTATTTTCCCACATCACCCACTGGACGTCTATCGGCAACAACCCTTATAAGGCCACACTGTCCCCTTTCCCTGTCGGTGTTCAACGTTCTCCGTCTAAGTCTAATAGGCCAGCAGGCTACACTCGCACATACGTTGAACACTGGGTATTGACTTGTGTTGCGTGTCCGAAACTTGGATCAATAGCCCTCAAGGGTTTGTTGAAAGAACTCGCCCGGCTTGCCTTCTCGCTATTAGTTGCCTGCATTTGGATAAGCTGATGCGGCAACCACTAGTCAAGCTGGAGTGGGAATTGTTCTCGGATCCAAGGCTGTCATCCTTAGTTGATTGGATTCTGGTGAACAACCGTTTTTGTGCAGCCCGTTTAACGACATCATCTGAGGTTGACTCACGAGACAGTACTAGACGCTGTATTTTATGGTTTTAGCTTATGCCCCCTTCCGACTGCATTTATGATGTTGCCAAAGACACCTACCACTAACTGAACACACTACGCATTGCTACCGATCCAGATATCATAATTCTTGCAGGGGATATGAGTGCACAAGTAGGTCATTTAAGCTCTTCAGAAGCTCAGCTACGTGGTAAGTATGGACTTAACTCCGACCGTACGGACAACGGCGAGCATCTTTTGCAACTGTGGGCAGAGTACCAGCTGTTTCCTAGTAAAACTACCTTTCCAATGGTTTTTCGGAGATACTTTGGACTGGTAGGGATTTAGCCCAGTCTTATAACAGCCCGTTGCACTTTGAAGACACACCACACATAGTGAATACTGCAGCGTATGCGTTAGACTATTCAGTATCGTTCTCGGCTTCCGAGAACTGACTCCATTTGACTGCAGACACTTGCGAATTAGTCCTCATGTCTAGCGGGAGAACTGAGTGAGTAATACTGAAATTCTTCCATATGTATGATAGCAGTACCCTCAGTGCTTTACTGAGGTGTCTAGTGAACTCGTATCATTTTCGCTGTTCCAGTCACATACTCTACGTCCCTCCAAGCTAACTACCTTGGTCTATGTTACTTGTCAATAATGCACCCAGTTGAGCGAAACCTAGAAGTGACCAAGCAATGACAGTGCGAAAGAACATGGAAAAAATCGCCGATAGGCTGGATCCGGTTGCTTTTTATTGTCTTCTCAAATGGGCTCCTTGAGGCTGGTTCATCAGTAGTTAGGTACCCTATCGAATATGACGCCGTCACAAGGTCAGTGGTGCTCTCACATCCGTCCCCTCATTCCGGATCCTTTTTTACTCCATCTGACAATTTAATTCTTTTCATTCCTCGTGATTCTTAGTATTATTGTTATTTTAACAACTTGTGCTGTTCAAATTTGGCAAACTGAACTTATTTTTTGGTATACTTTCGGCTCGGGATTTGGATTGATGTATGTTCTAACTTGCTCGTTTGCCGAGGTTTCACCATCCGACTGAATAATACCATCCGAGAAAGTCCTGGGAATTTACTTAGGTTTGTACTTGTTCCGTTTTTACCGTAGGTTTGGAGCCACGTCTCAGTCTCTACTCGTTTACTCACTATGTTTATGGAATCCGATTGATCAGTCGCTTTCGTTACTTGTCTGACCAGAGATAGATTGTTGGCCTGCTTAGTTGCACTTCTTGGGCGATCTTTTGTTCCAAGGATTTACCGATTGTACTTTGACCTTAGCGCTAAGTTGCTTCCACAGACAACTCACTCGGCTGGGGAAACAACGTCACATTGTCATCCAGATGTAAGCCGATTCCGAAGACGAACATCTTTTCTGGTTCCTAAATTCCCTTTTACCTTTCCATTTTTAAACACCCTTCGATTCTCCCAGCCCTCGCTACCGATTTATGGTGTCCGTTGGTAGGCTCCCTTCAGCAACAATACGCGCGCATTTCCTTACTTTTACCCGAGAACTCTCTTACACTTGCGTCGCACTAAATCTATGTGAACGCAACTTCTCTCCACGACTGTCCTTTACGGCCCATATGCAGAAACCTAAACCAGGTCCAGAGCTTCACTTTTAAATGAAGGCCATTCGTTTACGAATTCCGTTTTGTGTGTCACCTGCAACAGCGTCTACCCGAACTGACACTTCTAACCGCTTTCGTTGTCTAAGTATTGTATACAAGTGTATCACGCTCAATTCGGCTTTCTTCGGTCATCTATTTATTGTTACCTTAAATCCAATTATTTATTTGAGTTGACAACCTCTGTGACCCCCTTAAAATTTTTGCCTCATCGGAGTCTCAGTATTAATCCTACGTTCAGTATAGGACCCCGAATTTTCATTTCTATGCACCAATCTAAACTTTTGTCCTGAATTAGACAAATTTTGCTCATCATCCCACTGCACTTATGCTTCCCGTCAGCCTCTCGCAAGGTCTGGATTGGTTCGTCTCTCAAACAGGACGATGACGTTATGGGATGCGCTCCACCTATCACTCAACGTTGTATTTTATGCTCACGGGAATTTGCCATACCATTGGATTGACCGTGCTACCTAGTCCCCATCCATACGCCGCCTTTGATTATCACAGCTATCATTCAGCGTCCCAATGCGGAAGCCCTCTTTCAATATGCACTTTCCACAGACAGAGCTGCATTCACTTTTTGGCGTTAATCGGATTAAATACTGAATCATCTTCCCGTGTACACCTCCATTTGTTTCACGGTCACTTGAGTTTGCTTTTGAGTTCGCCAGATTTAGACGATTGCTAAAGTCAAGTGCAACGTATCTTCCTTCGGATTGTTAATTTTCTGCATTTTTAACGTTAATGGTCAGATGCAAAATGTACACAACTGCAATCGTCTCTGCGTTCTACCAGAAAAATGGGGAAAGATGACTTGTTGCCATGCTGGAGTGTTTGTACCACTAAGTTAACTTTTGTATGTCACTCCGAACCATGAATACATGTAGTACCAGTCTGACTATCATTCACATTCGTTCAGAGAACTTTTGTTACACTTTGCTGAAGAACCGATTGTTTGCAAGTGTAGAGACTATCATGTCCAGTTACGAATGCCAGCTTTACCTCAGTCCACGGAAAGGTGGCCCACTCGGTGGTCCCTTTTTGGTCCACTTAGGTTAATTGGCGATCTCAAGATGACACGTACTTTCCCCCGTCGATCCTCGGCGCTTTATGCAGTACACCTCCATGTGGATGTACCGCTTGCGGCCTTATGTGTCACTTCTCTTCCCTGGAATTGTCCTGACCCTCTAATCAGTCAGATAGTTGAATGTCGTGTAGATGGACGAAGCTTTGCGCATATAGTGGGCTGAGAGGAGTGTCTTAGTTCAGTGTAGCTCTCTGTGGCTCTAGTAGCAATCGAGCGAGGTACTTACGCGATGAGCACTCGTCTAAAAAGCTGAAGGTGTGTTTCATTTGGGCCATACTGGTTTGCTTGAACATACAGTAAAGCCTCCGAACTTGACCTTTTTTTCGTCGCTTGTATGTCCACCATGTAAACCTTATGGAACCAGACCTTCTATGTCGACCACTTTGGTCCAGTCCCTTGAGTGGTCAATTTATGATGATTTTACTCTACGATGTGGCATGCTTAGTGTATCAGATTCAGTCGCACTATACACGAATGTTGACGCGGTGCGGACACTGTTGCTCAGATTACGGGCTGCAGGAGACCGTTTATTATCGCTGGGAAAGATAGTGTGCGCATCCTTCCCGGAGGCGCTAAACCTAAAGAGCCACTCATTCATAAGATGAGCTTCTGTGATCCACTCACTGAGTGTACGTCCCCAATGTATGCATCTGCAATGCAAGCTCTTAAGGGACTACTTCCATATGGCTGACTTTCTCTTGTGATATGCATACACTTGAGTCGCGCGTTTACGCGGATATGTGAAGAGTCCACATAAAATTGCCCTATCCATGAATGGTATGCTTGCTGAAGAAGCGTGAACGGCCATTGCTACGTGGCGCGACGGTTTGCCTGCTTCCATCACCATAAGTGGCACTTGAACACTTTAAGATCCTCTCGGTAGTCCAAACCCGAACCAACTCAGTCTCCTTGTTCTCCAGACTGTGAATTATGTTTTGTCATGCCTTTGAACAGAATGGTGGACTCCTGACTAGACTTGGGCGTCCTGATCATGTCACAGTCTAAGTACAATCAGAGGTATCACATCTACTTCCGAAGCTGCAAAATCAGCTGGCTTTGCAGTTCATGCAACATGCCGGAACCCAGCAATATATACTCCGACTGTACCCATGCAAATTCCTCCACTACACGGGATGCTGCCATTTGTCTAACGAGAAAACAAACACTGAATCTGCCGGCACAACTTAGATATGTTAACTTAATTCTCTTAAATGCTTGATCTCTCAACAACAAAATGCACCTCCTACGTTATTTACTGTTTTTCGCCTGTCGCGATGATGTGCTTTTTACAGGGGCTTAGGAAAGCGAAGGCTACTGATGCTCACTTTACATCCCAAACTTCCACGGTTTGTTGGGTATGTATGTATGTATGTATTCTCAACAGTCTATTAGCTAGACAAAGAGCCAGCCTAAAACCATGGAGATAAGGAGATAAGCAAGATTCATGGCGTCATAATCATCGTGGCATGCTAGTTGAAGGTGAGCAACACACTTCAACTAATATGCCGCAGGAAGAATGGAACATTTTGATAAAAAGCAGAACAAACATTTTTAGTTTGTTTTTCACACGCCGCTTTTGTTCTTTTTTGTCATTTTAATGTTTGTAGAATTAAACATGTGAATCAATACAATAATGTACACAATTCTTCCACTGATTCCGGTTGCGGGCCATATCTTCAAGAGTGCTAAGCCATTGGCACTCCTCATCTTTGGGTCCCCATCCTGGAAGACGTACGGATCCTACAGCGGCTAGACACGACGTCAGCGATTTCATGTGCTGACGCCAAGTGGAAGGCTGACCACCACGCGGTCGCCTCCAGCCAGGTCCTTGACGAGCGAATAGAGCGCGACGCGGTAGACGCTCAGGTGTCATGCGTAGGACGTGACCGAGCCATCTCAACTGGCGCAACAAAACCAGTTTGTTGAAGGGAATACTCGCATTCCCCAAGACGCGACGTCGAACGTCATTACTATTTACTCGATGTTGCCACCAAACACGCGCGATCCTCCTTAAGCAACCGTTATCGAACGCAGAAAGACGACGCATGTCTTCCACGCGAAGCGGCCAGGACTCGCGCCCATACAACAACATTGAGCGAACTGATGCACTGTAAACTCGGTCCTTTAGTGAGAATGAGACGTCGCGACGACGCCACAAGTGCCTCAAATTGACAAATGCCGATCGAGCTTTAGCGATACGAAGAGAAACTTCTTTGTTGATAGTGCCATCGGCAGAAATACAGCTCCCAAGGTAGACGAAACTATCTACCTGTTCAAGTTGTGCACCATCGAGAGTGAGTACGGGAGCAGGCGAATGCCAATCTTTGAGCAGTATTTTACACTTCGATGGGGCGATGCTCAGACCATAATTAGATGCTTCAACTGCCAATCGATCTAGAACGAGTTGCATACTCTGTGAATCGTCACCAAGTAAGGCGTTATCATCAGGGAAATCTAAGTCGGTTGCGCGCTCACCCGGTAGAAGCTCTAGGCCAAAATGTTGGAAACCTTATAGAGCATTCGACAGAACGTCTTCAATTGCGAAGTTGAAGAGGAATGGGGACATAGGGCAGCCCTGCCGCACACCGCTATTGCCAGCGAATTGCGAAAAAAGCTTGCCATCGACCCTCACTCTGCCGGATGTATGAAGGTAAAGCGCTCGTTAAAAGGCGGGGTAAATTTCTCTGGCATGCCGTTCTTTAGCAAGCAAAGCCATAAATCAGGTCGACCAACGGAGTCGAAAGCGGCACGTATGTCTAGGAATGCAAAGATGGTGGGCCTGTGATAAATGTGGCGGTGTTCGAGGAGCTGGCGGAGCGTGAAGATTTGATGCACACATCCGCGGCCAGGACGGAAACCAGCTTGTTCTTCACGGTAGTATGATTCACGTACTGGGGATAGTCTGCGAAACAGAATGGATGCCAATAGCTTAGAGGCAACCGAAATAAGACTAATCCCGCGACGATTTGCACATGAAGTGCGAGCGCCTTTCTTGAAAATCGGGATAATGACTGATTCTCCCCAAGAGGAAGGCACTTTCTCTTCATGCCAAATTTTTGCGAACAGCGCGGTCAGCTGGTTAATGATCGCCACACCGCCGTACTTGAATAGCTCCGGAGGAAGTCCGTCTAATCCGGCAGCCTTGAAGCGCTTCAAGCGTCGAATCTCAAGGCCGACTTCCGCTTCGCTGGGTGGATTCAGAGGGACGAGCCAGGGTGGACAACAACGTGTATTGCATGTACTGATGGATGGTGGAGGCCAGTTGAACTGCGAGTGAAAGTGCTCGGCCCAACGGTCCATACGCCTCTGTTGGTTGGTGATCGGAGACTCATCCACCTCACAAATGACCTCACTGACACCAGGTTTCCTGAGGCCAGTGGACCGAATGAGTTGGAAAAGCCTGCGAGTGTTGCCAGAGAGGGCAGCGGTCTCCATCTCTAAAGCACGTTCAGACCACCATATTTCGCGATCCTTGCGTAGGCTTTGCTTGAGCAGCCGGTTGGCAGAACGGCGCCGCTCGTTGCAATCTGATTCCGCGGGTATATCTTTGCGGCGTTCGAACAGCTCCAGAGAACGAGCAGAGATCCAAGCCTTCAATGGGCGTCGAGTTAGGCCACAGCATGACTGTCCGGAAATGGTCATTGCCTTCCGTATACAAGTCCAGTGTTGTTCCACTTCTTGCGGTGGATTGCAACTGAGTGCATATGCCAATGAAGACTGATAGCTCGTCTGGACAGAGGAATCAGTTAATCTGTTTACATCAATCTTGCGGTGCTTCGTGCTTCGGGATCCTCCAAAACACATACAAATTTTCGCGCAGACCAGAGCATGATCTGAGTCAACGAATGTGGACCAAAAGGACCTGCAGTCTAGTACGCTGCCGCGCCATCTGAAGCTAATTGCAATGTGATCAATTTGAGACCACGGTTGTGTTGAAGAAGGGGGGACGCCACGTTGCGGAACGCTTCTTCGTACGCCTGAAGTTAGTGCTCGAGGGAAACAGACGGTTGTCTTCGCACAATGTGAGAAGTCTCTCTCCGTTATCAGAGCGGTTCTCATCGAGCGCGTGATGACCACCAAGGTGGCGTTCGTATGGTAACAGGCGGCCAACTCGTGCATTAAAATCCCCAGCAAGGATAACGACATCCGACTTTTTAGCATTAGTCAAGAGTTGTTGTAGATCCCGATAGAATTCGTCCTTGACCGAGTCGCCACTGCAGTCAGTTGGAGCGTACACAGAGATCACAAACAAGTTGCGTCTCTCTTCGCGGTGCCTGTTGATTCTACACGAACCCCGAAGCCGAACTGCACATAATCGGCTGTTAATAGGGAACCAGTCCAGTAGTGCCGCCTCGGCCTTTTCACTTAGTGCTATACCTACACCAGCCAGACCCGCTGAGGCTGCTTCTGGATCTCCAGAAAGACGCAGGTGATATCTGGCTTCGTGGTCAGTGGGGATGTCAATGTAAGCACAGTGCTGGGATCTTGCAATCGGGTTTCTGAAAGGCAGCAGACATCAATGTCTAGGGACTCTAGAGTGCGCGCTAGACCGGCTTGCTGTCCAATCTGCATGAGTGTCCGAACGTTGAAGCACGCCAGACGGAACGAGGATCGGGGACGAAGGAGAGCCACGGGTTGAACCTCTTGGTCTGCGGCGCAACCGGAATCGCAGCCAGATTGCTGAGCACATG